CGGACCAAGTGGCGCGCGCGCGCGCCCGGACCAAGTGGCGCGCGCGCGCGCCCGGACCTAGTGGCGCGCGCGCGCCCGGACCAAGTGGAGCGGCGCGCGCGCCCGGACCAAGTGGTGCGCGCGCGCGCCCGGACCGTGGGCGCGCAGCGCGCCCGGACCAAGTGGCGCGCGCGCGCGGACCAAGTGGCGCGCGCGCGCTCCCGGACCAAGTGGCGCGCGCGCCGCGGGACCAAGTGGCGCGCGCGCGCGCCCGGGCCAAGTGGCGCGTGCGCGCGCCCGGACCAAGTGGCGCGCGCGCGCGTGCCCGGACCAAGTGGCGCGCGCGCGCGAGCCCGGACCAAGTGGCGCGCGCACGCCCGGACCAAGTGGCGCGCGCGCGCGGAACCAAGAGGCGTGCGCGCGCGCCTGGACCAAGTGGCGCGCGCGCGCGCCCGGACCTAGTGCGCGCGCGTGCGCAGACCAAGTGGCGCGCGCTCGCGCCCGGACCAGTGGCGCGCGCTGCGCCCGGACCAAGTTGCGCGCGCGCGCGGACCAAGAGGCGCGCGCGCGCGCCTGGACCAAGTGGCGCGCGCGGCGCGCCCGGACCTAGTGGCGCGCGCTTGCGCAGACCAAGTGTCGCGCGCTCGCGCCCGGACCAAGTGGCGCGCGCGCGCGCCCGGACCAAGTGGCGCGCGCGCGCGCCCGGACCAAGTGGTGCGCGCGCGCGCGCGCCGGACCAAGTGGTGCGCGCGCGCGAGCCCGGACCAAGTGGCGCGCGCGCGCGCGCCCGGACCTAGTGGCGCGCGCGCGCGCCCGGACCTAGTGGCGCGCGCGGCGCCCGGACCTAGTGGGCGCGCAGCGCGCGCCCGGACCATGTGGAGCGCGCGCGCGCCCGGACCAAGTGGCGCGCGCGCGCGCGCCGGACCAAGTGGCGCGCGCCGCGCGCCGGACCTAGTGGCGCGCGCGCGCCCGGACCTAGTGGCAAGCGCGCGCGCGCGACCAAGTGGCGCGCGCGCGCGCCCGGGAACCAAGTGGCATGCGCGCCGCGCGCGCCCGGACCAAGTGGCGCCGCCGCGCGCGCGCCCGGACAAAGTGGCGCGCGCTCGCGCCTGGACCAAGTGGCGCGCGCGCGCGCCCGGACCTGGTGGCGCGCGCGCGCCCGACCAAAGTGGCGCACTCGCGCGCCGGACCAAGTGGCTGCGCGCCTGCTGCGCGCCCGGACCTGGTGGCGCTGCGCGCGCGCCCGGACCACGCGGCGCGCTGCGCGCGCTCCCGGACCAAGCGGCGCGCTCGCGCGCGCTCCCGGACCAAGCGTGCGCGCCGCGGCGCGCGCCCGGACCAAGCGGCTGCGCTGCGCTGCGCGCCCCGGACCAAGCGGCGCCGCGCTGCGGCGCGCCCGGACAAAGTGGCGCGCGCGCGCGCGCCCGGAACCAAGTGGCTGCGCGCGCGCGCCCGACCAAGTGGCGCGCTGCGCGCGCCCGGACCTAGTGGCTGCGCGCGCGCGCGGACCTAGTTGCGGGCGCGCCGCTCCCGGATCAAGTGGAGCGCGTGCGCGCCCGGACCAAGTGACGCGCGCGCGCGCCCGGACCAAGTGGCGCGCGTGCGCGCCCGGACCAAGTGGCGCTGCGCGCGCCCGGACCAAGTGGCGCTGCGCTGCGCGCGCCCGGACCAAGTGGCGCGCCGCGCGCGCGCCCGGACCAAGTGGCGGCGCGCGCGCGCGCGGGGACCAAGTGGCGCGCGCGCGCGCGCGGACCAAGTGGCGCGCGCGCGCGCCCGGACCAAGTGGCGCGCTGCGCGCGCCCGGACCAAGTGGCGGCGCTGCGCGCGCGCCCGGACCAAGTGGCGCGCGCGCGACCAAGTTGCGCGCGCACGCGCCCGGACCAAGTGGCGCGCGCTCGCGCCTGGACCACGTGGCGCGCGCGCGCCCGGACCTAGTGGCGCGCGCGCGCGCGCCGGACCAAGTGGAGCTCGCGCTGCGCGCGCCCGGACCGAGTGGCGCGCTGCGCGCGCCCGGACGAGTGGCGCGCTGCGCGCGCCCGGACCGGAGTGGCGAGCGCGCGGACCAAGTGGCGCGCGCGTGGACCAAGAGGGGCGCGCGGACCAAGTGGCGCGTGCGCGCCCGGACCAAGTGGCGCGCGCGCGCGCCCGGACCAAGTGGCGCGCGCCGCGCCCGGACCAAGTGGCGCGCGCGCGCGCCCGGACCTAGTGGCGCGCGCGTGCGCAGACCAAGTGGCGCGCGCGTCGGGCCCGGACCAAGTGGCGCGCGCGCGCGCCCGGGACCAAGTGGCGCGCAGCGCGCGGACCAAGAGGCGCGCGCGCGCGCGCCCGGACCAAGTGGCGCGCGCGCGCCCGGACCTAGTGGCGCGCGCGCGCGCGCCCGGACAAAGTGGCGCGCGCGCGCGCGCGCCCGGACCAAGTGGCGCGCGCGCGTGCGGACCTAGTTGCGGGCGCGCGCTCCCGGATCAAGTGGAGCGCGGTGCGCGCCCGGACCAAGTGACGCGCGCGCGCGCCCGGACCAAGTGGCGCGCGTGCGCGCCCGGACCAAGTGGCGCGCGCGCGCCCGGACCAAGTGGCGCGCGCGCGCGCAGCGGGGGACCAAGTGGTGCGCGCGCGCGCGCGGACCAAGTGGCGCGCGCGGCGCGCGCGGACCAAGTGGCGCGCGCGCGCGCCCTGACCAAGTGGCGCGCGCTGCGCGCGCCCGGACCAAGTGGCGCGCGCGCGCGCCCGGACCAAGTGGCGCGCGCGCGCCCGGACCAAGTGGCGCGCGCGCGCGCTCGGACCTAGTGGCGCGCGCAGGCGCGCGGACCTAGTGGCGCGCGCGCGCGCCTGGACCAAGTGGAGCGCGCGCGCGCCCGGACCAAGTGGCCGCGCGCGCGCGCCCGGACCAAGTGGCGCGCGCGCGCCCGGACCAAGTGGCGCGCGCGCGCCCGGACCAAGTGGCGCGCGCGCCGCCCGGACCAAGTGGCGCGCGCGCGCGCGCGCCCGGACCAAGTGGCACGCGCGCGCGCCACCCGGACCAAGTGGAGCGCGCGCGCGCCCGGACCAAGTGGCCCGCGCGCGCCCGGACCAAGTGGCGCGCGCGCGCTGCGCGCCGGACCAAGTGGAGCGCGCGCGCGCGCCCGGACCGAGTGGCGCGCGCGCGCGCCCGGACCGAGTGGCGCGCGCGCGCGCCCGGACCGAGTGGCGAGCGCGCGGACCAAGTGGCGCGCGCGTGGACCAAGAGGGGCGCGCGGACCAAGTGGCGCGTGCGCGCCCGGACCAAGTGGCGCGCGCGCGCGCGCCCGGACCAAGTGGCGCGCGCGCGCCCGGACCAAGTGGCGCGCGCGCGCGCGCCTGGACCAAGTGGCACGCGCGCGCGCCACCCGGACCAAGTGGAGCGCGCGCGCGCCCGGACCAAGTGGCGCGCGCTGCGCGCGCCGGACCAAGTGGAGCACGCGCGCGCGCCCGGACCAAGTGGAGCGCGCGCGCGCCTGGACCAACTGGAGCGCGCGCGCACCCGGACCAACTGGCGTGCGCGCGCGCTCACGGACCAAGAGGCGCGCGCGCGCGCCCGGACCAAGTGGCGCGCGCGCGCGCGCTTTGACCAAATGGCGCGCGCGCGCGCCCGGACCAAGTGGCGCGCGCGCGCGCGCCCGGACCCAGTGGAGCACGCGCGCGCGTCCGGACCGAGTGGCGCGCGCGCGCGCCCGGACCGAGTGGCGCGCGCGCGCGCCCGGACCGAGTGGCGCGCGCGCGCGCCCGGACCGAGTGGCGCGCGCCCGCGCCCGTACCAAGTTGCGTGCGCGCGCGTGCGGACCAAGAGGCGCGCGCGCGCAGCGCGCCCGGACCAAGTGGCGCGCGCGCGCGCTTGGACCTAGTGGCGCGCGCATGCGCGGACCAAGTGGCGCGCGCGCGCGCCCGGACCAAGTGGCGCGCGCGCGCCCGGACCAAGTGGCGCGCGCGCGCCCGGACCAAGTGGCGCGCGCGCGCGCGCCCGGACCAAGTGGCGCGCGCTCGCGCCCGGACCAAGTGGAGCGCGCGCGCGCGCCCCGGACCAAGTGGCGCGCGCGCGCGCCCGGACCAAGTGGCTCGCGCGCGCGCGCCTGGACCAAGTGGCGCGCGCGCGCCCGGACCAAGTGGCGCGCGCGCGCGCGCCCGGACCAAGTGGCGCGCGCGCGCGCCCGGACCAAGTGGCGCGCGCGCGCGCTTGGACCTAGTGGCGCGCGCGCGCGCGGACCTAGTGGCGCGCGCGCGCCCGGACCTAGTGGCAAGCGCGCGCGCGGACCAAGTGGCGCGCGCGCGCGCCCGGACCAAGTGGCGCGCGCCGCGCGCGCCCGGACCAAGTGGCGCGCGCGCGCGCGCCCGGACCAAGTGGCGCGCGCTCGCGCCTGGACCAAGTGGCGCGCGCGCGCGCCCGGACCTGGTGGCGCGCGCGCGCCCGGACCAAGTGGCGCGTGCGCGCCCGGACCAAGTGGCGCGCCGCGCGCGCCCGGACCTGGTGGCGCGCGCGCGCCCGGACCACGCGGCGCGCGCGCGCGCTCCCGGACCAAGCGGCGCGCGCGCGCGCAGACCAAGTGGCGCGCGCTCGGGCCCGGACCAAGTGGCGCGCGCGCGCGCCCGGACCAAGTGGGCGCGCGCGCGCGGACCAAGAGGCGCGCGCGCGCGCCCGGACCAAGTGGCGCGCGCGCGCCCGGACCTAGTGGCGCGCGCCGCGCTGCGCCCGGACAAAGTGGCGCGCGCGCGCGCGCCCGGACCAAGTGGCGCGCGCGCGTGCGGACCTAGTTGCGGGCGCGCGCTCCCGGATCAAGTGGAGCGCGTGCGCGCCCGGACCAAGTGACGCGCGCGGCGCGCCCGGACCAAGTGGCGCGCGTGCGCGCCCGGACCAAGTGGCGCGCGCGCGCCCGGACCAAGTGGCGCGCGCGCGCGCGCGGGGACCAAGTGGTGCGCGCGCAGCGCGCGGACCAAGTGGCGCGCGCGCGCGCGCGGACCAAGTGGCGCGCGCGCGCGCCCTGACCAAGTGGCGCGCGCGCGCGCGCCCGGACCAAGTGGCGCGCGCGCGCGCCCGGACCAAGTGGCGCGCGCGCGCCCGGACCAAGTGGCGCGCGCGCGCGCGCTCGGACCTAGTGGCGCGCGCGCGCGCGGACCTAGTGGCGCGCGCGCGCGCCTGGACCAAGTGGAGCGCGCGCGCGCCCGGACCAAGTGGCGCGCGCGCGCGCCCGGACCAAGTGGCGCTGCGCGCGCCCGGACCAAGTGGCGCGCGCGCGCCCGGACCAAGTGGCGCGCGCGCGCGCGCGCCCGGACCAAGTGGCACGCGCGCGCGCCACCCGGACCAAGTGGAGCGCGCGCGCGCCCGGACCAAGTGGCCCGCGCGCGCCCGGACCAAGTGGCGCGCGCGCGCGCGCCGGACCAAGTGGAGCGCGCGCGCGCGCCCGGACCGAGTGGCGCGCGCGCGCGCCCGGACCGAGTGGCGCGCGCGCTGCGCCCGGACCGAGTGGCGAGCGCGCGGACCAAGTGGCGCGCGCGTGGACCAAGAGGGGCGCGCGGACCAAGTGGCGCGTGCGCGCCCGGACCAAGTGGCGCGCGCGCGCGCGCCCGGACCAAGTGGCGCGCGCGCGCCCGGACCAAGTGGCGCGCGCGCGCGCGCGCCTGGACCAAGTGGCACGCGCGCGCGCCACCCGGACCAAGTGGAGCGCGCGCGCGCCCGGACCAAGTGGCGCGCGCGTGGACCAAGAGGGGCGCGCGGACCAAGTGGCGCGTGCGCGCCCGGACCAAGTGGCGCGCGCGCGCGCCTGGACCAACTGGAGCGCGCGCGCACCCGGACCAACTGGCGTGCGCGCGCGCTCACGGACCAAGAGGCGCGCTGCGCGCGCCCGGACCAAGTGGCGCCGCGCGCGCGCGCTTTGACCAAATGGCGCGCGCGCGCGCCCGGACCAAGTGGCGCGCGCGCGCGCGCCCGGACCCAGTGGAGCACGCGCGCGCGTCCGGACCGAGTGGCGCGCGCGCGCGCCCGGACCGAGTGGCGCGCGCGCGCGCCCGGACCGAGTGGCGCGCGCGCGCGCCCGGACCGAGTGGCGCGCGCCCGCGCCCGTACCAAGTTGCGTGCGCGCGCGTGCGGACCAAGAGGCGCGCGCGCGCGCGCCCCGGACCAAGTGGCGCGCGCGCGCGCTTGGACCTAGTGGAGCGCGCGCGCGCCCGGACCAAGTGGCGCGCGCGCGCGCCCGGACCAAGTGGCGCGCGCGCGCCCGGACCAAGTGGCGCGCGCGCGCCCGGACCAAGTGGCGCGCGCGCGCGCGCCCGGACCAAGTGGCGCGCGCTCGCGCCCGGACCAAGTGGAGCGCGCGCGCGCGCCCGGACCAAGTGGCGCGCGCGCGCGCCCGGACCAAGTGGCTCGCGCGCGCGCGCCTGGACCAAGTGGCGCGCGCGCGCCCGGACCAAGTGGCGCGCGCGCGCGCGCGCCCGGACCAAGTGGCGCGCGCGCGCGCCCGGACCAAGTGGCGCGCGCGCGCGCTTGGACCTAGTGGCCGCGCGCGCGCGCGGACCTAGTGGCGCGCGCGCGCGCCTGGACCAAGTGGAGCGCGCGCGCGCCCGGACCAAGTGGCGCGCGCGCGCGCCCGGACCAAGTGGCGCGCGCGCGCCCGGACCAAGTGGCGCGCGCGCGCCCGGACCAAGTGGCGCGCACGCGCGCCCGGACCAAGTGGCGCGCGCGCGCGCCCGGACCTAGTGGCGCGCGCGCGCCCGGACCTAGTGGCGCGCGCGCGCGCGCCCGGACCAAGTGGAGCGCGCGCGCGCGCGGACCAAGTGGCGCGCGCGCGCGCCCGGACCAAGTGGCGCGTGCGCGGACCAAGTGGCGCGCGCGCGCTCCCGGACCAAGTGGCGCGCGCGCGCGGACCAAGTGGCGCGCGCGCGCCCGGGCCAAGTGGCGCGCGCGCGCGCCCGGACCAAGTGGCGCGCGCGCGCGCGCCCGGACCAAGTGGCGCGCGGCGCGCTCCCGGACCAAGTGGCGCGCAGCGCGCGAGCCCGGACCAAGTGGCGCGCGCGCGCCCGGACCAAGTGGCGCGCGCGCGCGCGCAGACCAAGTGGCGCGCGCTCGCGCCCGGACCAAGTGGCGCGCGCGCGCGCCCGGACCTAGTGGCGCGCGCGCGCCCGGACCTAGTGGCGCGCGCGCGCGCCCGGACCTAGTGGCGCGCGCGCGCCCGGACCTAGTGGCGCGCGCGCGCGCGCGGACCAAGTGGAGCGCGCGCGCGCCCGGACCAAGTGGCGCGCGCGCGCGCCCGGACCAAGTGGCGCGCGCGCGCGCCCGGACCTAGTGGCGCGCGCGCGCCCGGACCAAGTGGAGCGCGCGCGCGCCCGGACCAAGTGGTGCGCGCGCGCGCCCGGACCAAGTGGCGCGCGCGCGCCCGGACCAAGTGGCGCGCGCGCGCGGACCAAGTGGCGCGCGCGCGCTCCCGGACCAAGTGGCGCGCGCGCGCGGACCAAGTGGCGCGCGCGCGCGCCCGGGCCAAGTGGCGCGTGCGCGCGCCCGGACCAAGTGGCGCGCGCGCGCGTGCCCGGACCAAGTGGCGCGCGCGCGCGAGCCCGGACCAAGTGGCGCGCGCACGCCCGGACCAAGTGGCGCGCGCGCGCGGACCAAGAGGCGTGCGCGCGCGCCTGGACCAAGTGGCGCGCGCGCGCGCCAGGACCTAGTGGCGCGCGCGTGCGCAGACCAAGTGGCGCGCGCTCGCGCCCGGACCAAGTGGCGCGCGCGCGCGCCCGGACCAAGTTGCGCGCGCGCGCGGACCAAGAGGCGCGCGCGCGCGCCTGGACCAAGTGGCGCGCGCGCGCGCCCGGACCTAGTGGCGCGCGCGTGCGCAGACCAAGTGTCGCGCGCTCGCGCCCGGACCAAGTGGCGCGCGCGCGCGCCCGGACCAAGTGGCGCGCGCGCGCCCGGACCAAGTGGTGCGCGCGCGCGCGCCCGGACCAAGTGGTGCGCGCGCGCGAGCCCGGACCAAGTGGCGCGCGCGCGCGCCCGGACCTAGTGGCGCGCGCGCGCGCCCGGACCTAGTGGCGCGCGCGCGCCCCGGACCTAGTGGCGCGCGCGCGCGCCCGGACCATGTGGAGCGCGCGCGCGCCCGGACCAAGTGGCGCGCGCGCGCGCCCGGACCAAGTGGCGCGCCGCGCGCGCCCGGACCTAGTGGCGCGCGCGCGCCCGGACCTAGTGGCAAGCGCGCGCGCGGACCAAGTGGCGCGCGCGCGCGCCCGGACCAAGTGGCGCGCGCGCGCGCGCCCGGACCAAGTGGCGCGCGCGCGCGCGCCCGGACCAAGTGGCGCGCGCTCGCGCCTGGACCAAGTGGCGCGCGCGCGCGCCCGGACCTGGTGGCGCGCGCGCGCCCGGACCAAGTGGCGCACTCGCGCGCCGGACCAAGTGGCGCGCGCGCGCGCCCGGACCTGGTGGCGCGCGCGCGCCCGGACCACGCGGCGCGCGCGCGCGCTCCCGGACCAAGCGGCGCGCGCGCGCGCTCCCGGACCAAGCGGCGCGCGCGCGCGCGCCCGGACCAAGCGGCGCGCGCGCGCGCGCCCGGACCAAGCGGCGCGCGCGCGCGCGCCCGGACCAAGCGGCGCGCGCGCGCGCGCCCGGACCAAGCGGCGCGCGCGCGCGCGCCCGGACAAAGTGGCGCGCGCGCGCGCGCCCGGACCAAGTGGCGCGCGCGCGCGCCCGGACCAAGTGGCGCGCGCGCGCGCCCGGACCTAGTGGCGCGCGCGCGCGCGGACCTAGTTGCGGGCGCGCGCTCCCGGATCAAGTGGAGCGCGTGCGCGCCCGGACCAAGTGACGCGCGCGCGCGCCCGGACCAAGTGGCGCGCGTGCGCGCCCGGACCAAGTGGCGCGCGCGCGCCCGGACCAAGTGGCGCGCGCGCGCGCGCCCGGACCAAGTGGCGCGCGCGCGCGCGCCCGGACCAAGTGGCGCGCGCGCGCGCGCGGGGACCAAGTGGCGCGCGCGCGCGCGCGGACCAAGTGGCGCGCGCGCGCGCCCGGACCAAGTGGCGCGCAGCGCGCGCCCGGACCAAGTGGCGCGCGCGCGCGCGCGCCCGGACCAAGTGGCGCGCGCGCGACCAAGTTGCGCGCGCACGCGCCCGGACCAAGTGGCGCGCGCTCGCGCCTGGACCACGTGGCGCGCGCGCGCCCGGACCTAGTGGCGCGCGCGCGCGCGCCGGACCAAGTGGAGCGCGCGCGCGCGCCCGGACCGAGTGGCGCGCGCGCGCGCCCGGACCGAGTGGCGCGCGCGCGCGCCCGGGACCGAGTGGCGAGCGCGCGGACCAAGTGGCGCGCGCGTGGACCAAGAGGGGCGCGCGGACCAAGTGGCGCGTGCGCGCCCGGACCAAGTGGCGCGCGCGCGCGCCCGGACCAAGTGGCGCGCGCGCGCCCGGACCAAGTGGCGCGCGCGCGCGCCCGGACCTAGTGGCGCGCGCGTGCGCAGACCAAGTGGCGCGCGCTCGGGCCCGGACCAAGTGGCGCGCGCGCGCGCCCGGACCAAGTGGCGCGCGCGCGCGGACCAAGAGGCGCGCGCGCGCGCCCGGACCAAGTGGCGCGCGCGCGCCCGGACCTAGTGGCGCGCGCGCGCGCGCCCGGACAAAGTGGCGCGCGCGCGCGCGCCCGGACCAAGTGGCGCGCGCGCGTGCGGACCTAGTTGCGGGCGCGCGCTCCCGGATCAAGTGGAGCGCGTGCGCGCCCGGACCAAGTGACGCGCGCGCGCGCCCGGACCAAGTGGCGCGCGTGCGCGCCCGGACCAAGTGGCGCGCGCGCGCCCGGACCAAGTGGCGCGCGCGCGCGCGCGGGGACCAAGTGGTGCGCGCGCGCGCGCGGACCAAGTGGCGCGCGCGCGCGCGCGGACCAAGTGGCGCGCGCGCGCGCCCTGACCAAGTGGCGCGCGCGCGCGCGCCCGGACCAAGTGGCGCGCGCGCGTGCCCGGACCAAGTGGCGCGCGCGCGCGCGCCCGGACCAAGTGGCGCGCGCGCGACCAAGTTGCGCGCGCACGCGCCCGGACCAAGTGGCGCGCGCTCGCGCCTGGACCACGTGGCGCGCGCGCGCCCGGACCTAGTGGCGCGCGCGCGCGCGCCGGACCAAGTGGAGCGCGCGCGCGCGCCCGGACCGAGTGGCGCGCGCGCGCGCCCGGACCGAGTGGCGCGCGCGCGCGCCCGGACCGAGTGGCGCGCGCGCGCGCCCGGACCGAGTGGCGAGCGCGCGGACCAAGTGGCGCGCGCGTGGACCAAGAGGGGCGCGCGGACCAAGTGGCGCGTGCGCGCCCGGACCAAGTGGCGCGCGCGCGCGCCCGGACCAAGTGGCGCTCGCGCGCCCGGACCAAGTGGCGCGCGCGCACGCGCCCGGACCAAGTGGCACGCGCGCGCGCCACCCGGACCAAGTGGAGCGCGCGCGCGCCCGGACCAAGTGGCGCGCGCGCGCGCGCCGGACCAAGTGGAGCACGCGCGCGCGCCCGGACCAAGTGGAGCGCGCGCGCGCCTGGACCAACTGGAGCGCGCGCGCACCCGGACCAACTGGCGTGCGCGCGCGCTCGCGGACCAAGAGGCGCGCGCGCGCGCCCGGACCAAATGGCGCGCGCGCGCGCGCTTGGACCAAATGGCGCGCGCGCGCGCCCGGACCGAGTGGCGCGCGCGCGCGCGCCCGGACCGAGTGGCGCGCGCGCTGCGCGCGCCGGGATCGAGTGGCGCGCTGCGCGCGCCCGGACCGAGTGGCGCGCGCGCGCGCCCGGACCAAGTTGCGTGCGCGCGCGTGCGGACCAAGAGGCGCGCGCGCGCGCGCCCGGACTAAGTGGCGCGCGCGCGCGCTTGGACCTAGTGGCGCGCGCATGCGCGGACCAAGTGGCGCGCGCGCGCGCCCGGACCAAGTGGCACGCGCGCGCCCGGACCAAGTGGCGCGCGCGCGCGCGCCCGGACCAAGTGGCGCGCGCTCGCGCCCGGACCAAGTGGAGCGCGCGCGCGCGCCCGGACCAAGTGGCGCGCGCGCGCGCCCGGACCAAGTGGCTCGCGCGCGCGCGCCTGGACCAAGTGGCGCGCGCGCGCCCGGACCAAGTGGCGCGCGCGCGCGCGCCCGGACCAAGTGGCGCGCGCGCGCGCCCGGACCAAGTGGCGCGCGCGCGCGCGCGGACCTAGTGGCGCGCACGCGCGCCCGGACCAAGTGGCGCGCGCGCGCGCCCGGACCAAGTGGCGCGCGCGCGCCCGGACCAAGTGGCGCGCGCGCGCGCCCGGACCAAGTGGCGCGCGCGCGCGCCCGGACCAAGTGGCGCGCGCGCGCGCCCGGACCAAGTGGCGCGCGCGCGCGCCCGGACCAAGTGGCGCGCGCGCGCGCCCGGACCACGTGGCGCGCGCGCGCGCCCGGACCACGTGGCGCGCGCGCGCGCCCGGACCTAGTGGCGCGCGCGCGCGGACCAAGTGGCCGTGCGCGCGCGCCCGGACCTAGTGGCGCGCGCGCGCGCCCGGACCAAGTGGCGCGCTGCGCGCGCGCCCGGACCAAGTGGCGCGCTGCGCGCGCCCGGACCTAGTGGCGCGCGCGCGCGCGCGGACCTAGTGGCGCGCGCGCGCGCCCGGACCAAGTGGAGCGCGCGCGCGCCCGGACCAAGTTACGCGCGCGCGCGCCTGGACCAAGTGGCGCGCGCGCGCGCCCGGACCAAGTGGCGCGCGCGCGCCCGGACCAAGTGGCGCGCGCGCGCGCCCGGACCAAGTGGCGCGCGCGCGCGCCCGGACCAAGTGGCGCGCGCGCGCGCCCGGACCAAGTGGCGCACGCGCGCGCGCCCGGACCATGTGGCGCGCGCGCGCGCCCGGACCAAGTGGCGCGCGCGCGCGAGCCCGGACCAAGTGGCGCGCGCGCGCGCCCGGACCTAGTGGCGCGCGCGCGCCCGGACCTAGTGGCGCGCGCGCGCGCCCGGACCAAGTGGAGCGCGCGCGCGCCCGGACCAAGTGGCGCGCGCGCGCCCGGACCAAGTGGCGCGCGCGCGCCCGGACCAAGTGGCGCGCGCGCGCGGACCAAGTGGCGCGCGCGCGCTCCTGAACCAAGTGGCGCGCGCGCGCGGACCAAGTGGCGCGCGCGCGCGCCCGGGCCAAGTGGCGCGCGCGCGCGCCCGGACCAAGTGGCGCGCGCGCGCGCGCCCGGACCAAGTGGCGCGCGCGCGCTCCCGGACCAAGTGGCGCGCGCGCGCGAGCCCGGACCAAGTGGCGCGCGCACGCCCGGACCAAGTGGCGCGCGCGCGCGGACCAAGAGGCGCGCGCGCGCGCCTGGACCAAGTGGCGCGCGCGCGCGCCCGGACCTAGTGGCGCGCGCGTGCGCAGACCAAGTGGCGCGCGCTCGCGCCCGGACCAAGTGGCGCGCGCGCGCGCCCGGACCAAGTGGCGCGCGCGCGCCCGGACCAAGTGGCGCGCGCGCGCGGACCAAGAGGCGCGCGCGCGCCTGGACCAAGTGGCGCGCGCGCGCGCCCGGACCTAGTGGCGCGCGCGTGCGCAGACCAAGTGGCGCGCGCTCGCGCCCGGACCAAGTGGTGCGCGCGCGCGCGCCCGGACCAAGTGGTGCGCGCGCGCGAGCCCGGACCAAGTGGCGCGCGCGCGCGCCCGGACCTAGTGGCGCGCGCGCGCGCCCGGACCTAGTGGCGCGCGCGCGCCCGGACCAAGTGGAGCGCGCGCGCGCCCGGACCAAGTGGAGCGCGCGCGCGCCCGGACCAAGTGGCGCGCGCGCGCGCCCGGACCAAGTGGCGCGCGCGCGCGCCCGGACCTAGTGGCGCGCGCGCGCCCGGACCTAGTGGCAAGCGCGCGCGCGGACCAAGTGGTGCGCGCGCGCGCCCGGACCAAGTGGCGCGCGCGCGCGCTCGGACCAAGTGGCGGGCGCGCGCCCGGACCAAGTGGCGCGCGCGCGCGCCCGGACCAAGTGGCGCGCGCGCGCGCCCGGACCAAGTGGCGCGCGCGCGCGCCCGGACCAAGTGGCGCACGCGCGCGCGCCCGGACCAAGTGGCGCGCGCGCGCGCCCGGACCAAGTGGCGCGCGCGCGCGAGCCCGGACCAAGTGGCGCGCGCGCGCGCCCAGACCAAGTGGAGCGCTCGCGCGCGCCCGGACCAAGTGGAGGGCGCGCGCGCCCGGACCAAGTGGCGTGCGCGCGCGCCCGGACCAAGACGCGCACGCGCGCGCCCGGACCAAGTGCCGCGCGCGCGCGCCCGGACCAAGACGCGCGCGCGCGCGCCCGGACCAAGTGCCGCGCGCGCGCGCGCCCGGACCAAGTGGCGCGCGCGCGCGCCCGGACCAAGTGGCGCGCGCGCGCCCGGACCAAGTGGCGCGCGCGCGCTCGCCCGGACCAAGTGGCGCGCGCGCGCGCGCCTGGACCAAGTGCCGCGCGCGCGCGCCCGGACCAAGTGGCGCGCGCGCGCGCCTGGACCAAGTGGCGCGCGCGCGCTCGCCCGGACCAAGTGGCGCGCGCGCGCGGACTAAGAGGCGCGCGCGCGCGCCTGGACCAAGAGGCGCGCGCACGCGCCCGGACCAAGTGGCGCGTGCTCGCGGACGAAGAGGCGCGCGCGCGCGCCCGGACCAAATGGTGTGAGCGCTTGCCCGGACCAAGTGGCGCGCGCGCGCGCGGACCAAGAGGCGCGCGCGCGCGCGCCCGGACCAAGTGGCGCGCGCGCGCGCCCGGACCAAGTGGCGCTCGCGCGCGCGCCGGGACCAAGTGGCGCGCGCGCGGACCAAGTGGCGCGCGCGCGCTTGGACCAACTGGCGCGCGCGCGCGCCCGGACCAACTGGCGCGCGCGCGCGCACGCGGACCAAGAGGCGCGCGCGCGCGCCCGGACCAAGTGGCGCGCGCGCGCGCCCGGACCAAGTGGCGCGCGCTCGCGCCTGGACCAGGTGGCGCGCGCGCGCGCCCGGACCTAATGGCGCGCGCGCGCCCGGACCAAGTGGCGCGCTCGCGCGCAGGACCAAGTGGCGCGCGCGCGCGCCCGGACCTGGTGGCGCGCACGCGCCCGGACCAAGCGGCGCGCGCGCGCGCTCCCGGACCAAGCGGCGCGCGCGCGCGCTCCCGGACCAAGCGGCGCGCGCGCGCGCGCCCGGACCAAGCGGCGCGCGCGCGCGCTCGGACCAAGTGGCGCGCGCGCGCGCGCCCGGACCAAGTGGCGCGCGCGCGCGCGCCCGGACCAAGTGGCGCGCGCGCGCGCGCCCGGACCAAGTGGCGCGCGCGCGCGCCCGGACCAAGTGGCGCGCGCGCGCGCCCAGACCTAGTGGCGCGCGCGCGCGCGGACCTAGTTGCGGGCGCGCGCGCCCGGATCAAGTGGAGCGCGTGCGCGCCCGGACCAAGTGACGCGCGCGCGCGCCCGGACCAAGTGGCGCGCGCGCGCGCGCCCGGACCAAGTGGCGCGCGCGCGCGCGCCCGGACCAAGTGGCGCGCGCGCGCGCGCGCGCGGACCAAGTGGCGCGCGCGCGCGCGGACCAAGTGGCGCGCGCGCGCGCCCGGACCAAGTGGCGCGCGCGCGCGCCCGGACCAAGTGGCGCGCGCACGCGCGCTCGGACCAAGTGGAGCGCGCGCGACCAAGTTGCGCGCGCACGCGCCCGGACCAAGTGGCGCGCGCTCGCGCCTGGACCACGTGGCGCGCGCGCGCCCGGACCTAGTGGCGCGCGCGCGCGCGCGGACCAAGTGGCGTGCGCGCGCGCCCGGACCAAGTGGAGCGCGCGCGCGACCGGTCCAAGTAGCGCGCGCGCGCGCCTGGACCTAGCGGCGCGCGCGCGCGCGCGGACCAAGTGGCGCGCGCGCGCGTGCGGACCAAGTGGCGCGCGCCCGCGCCCGGACCAAGTGGCGCGCGCCCGCGCCCGGACCTAGTGGCGCGCGCGCGCGCGGACCAAGTGGCGCGCGCGCGCGCCCGGACCAAGTGGCGCGCGCGCGCGCGCCCGGACCAAGTGGCGCGCGCGCGCGCCCGGACCAAGTGGCGCGCGCGCGCGCCCCCGGACCAAGTGGCGCGCGCGCGCGCCCGGACCAAGTGGCGCGCGCGCGCGCCCGGACCAAGTGGCGCGCGCGCGCGCCCGGACCAAGTGGCGCGCGCGCGCGCCCGGACCTAGTGGCGGGCGCACGCGCGGACCTAGTGGCGGGCGCGCGCGCCCGGACCAAGTGGAGCGCGCGCGCGCCCGGACCAAGTGGCGCGCGCGCGCGCTCGGACCAAGTGGCGGGCGCGCGCCCGGAAGTGGCGCGCGCGCGACGCCCAAGTGGCGCGCGCGCGCCCGGACCTAGTGGCGCGCGCGCGCTCGGACCAAGAGGGGCGCGCTCGCGCCCGGACCAAGTGGCGCGCGCGCGCGCCCGGACCAAGTGGCGCGCGCGCGCGCCCGGACCAAGTGGCGCGCGCGCGCGCCCGGACCAAGTGGCGCGCGCGCGCGCGCGGATTAAGTGGCGCGCGCGCGCGTGCGGACCAAGAGGCACGCGCGCGCGCCCTGACCAAGTGGCGCGCGCGCGCGCCCGGACCTAGTGGCGCGCGCGCGCGCGGACCAAGTGGCGCGCGCGCGCGCGCCCGGACCAAGTGGCGCGCGCGCGCGCCCGGACCAAGTGGCGCGCGCTCGCGCCCGGACCAAGTGGCGCGCGCGCGCGCCCGGACCTGGTGGCGCGCGCGCGCCCGGACCAAGTGGCGTGTGCGCCCGCCGACCAAGTGGCGCGCGCGCGCGCCCGGACCAAGTGGCGCGCGCTTGCGCCCGGACCAAGTAAAGCGCGCGCGCGCGGCCGGACCAAGTGGAGCGCGCGCGCGCGCCGGACCAAGTGGAGCGCGCGCGCGCGCCCGGACCAAGTGGCGCGCGCGCGCGCCCGGACCAACTGGCGTGCGCGCGCGCTCGCGGACCAAGAGGCGCGCGCGCGCGCTGGGACCAAGTGGGGCGCTCGCGCGCGCTGGGACCAAGTGGGGCGCTCGCGCGCCGGGACCAAGTGGCGCGCGCGCGCGCTCTCGGACCAAGTGGCGCGCGCGCGCGGACCTAGTGGCAGGCGCGCGCGCGCGGACCAAGTGGAGCGCGCGCGCGCCCGGACCAAGTGACGCGCGCGCGCGCTCGGACCAAGTGGAGCGCGCGCGCGCCTGGACCAAGTGGCGCGCGCGCGCGCGGACCAAGTGGCGCGCGCGCGCGCGGACCAAGTGGCGCGCGCGCGCGCGGACCAAGTGGCGCGCGCGCGCGCGGACCAAATGGCGCGCGTGCGCGCCCGGACCAAGGCGCGCGCGCGCGCGCCCGGACCAAGTGGCGCGCGCGCGCGCCCGGACCAAGTGGCGCGTGCGCGCGCCCGGACCAAGTGGCGCGCGAACGCGCGGACCAAGTGGCGCGCGCGCGCGCCCGGACCAAGTGGCGCGCGCGCGCGCCCGGACCAAGTGGAGCGCGCGCGCGCCCGGTCCAAGTGGCGCGCGCGCGCGCCGACCTAGTGGCGCGCGCGCGCGCCCGGACCTAGTGGCGCGCGCGCGCGCCCGGACCAAGCGGCGCGCGCACGCGCCCGGACCAAGCGGCGCGTGCGCGCGCGCCCGGACCAAGCGGCGCGCGCCGACCAGGGCGCCCCCGGACCAAGCGGCGCGCGCGCGCGCCCCCGGACCAAGCGGCGCGCGCGCGCGCCCCCGGACCAAGCGGCGCGCGCGCGCGCCCCGACCAAGCGGCGCGCGCGCGCGCCCGGACCAAGCGGCGCGCGCGCGCCCGGACCTGGTGGCGCGCGCGCGCGCCGACCAAGTGGAGCGCGCGCGCGCCCGGACCAAGAGGCGCGCGCGCGCCCGGACCAAGAGGCGCGCGCGCGCCCGGACCAAGTGGGGCGCGCGCACGCGGACCAAGTGGCGCGCGCGCGCGCCCGGACCAAGTGGCGCGCGCGCCCGCCCGGACCAAGTGGCGCCCGCGCCCGCCCGGAACAAGTGGCGCGCGCGCCCGCCCGGACCAAGTGGCGCGCACGCGCGGCCGGACCAAGAGGCGCGCGCGCGCGCCCGGACCAAGAGGCGCGCGCGCGCGCCCGGACCAAGAGGGGCGCGCGCGCGGACCAAGAGGCACGCGCGCGCGCGCCCTGACCAAGTGGCGTGTGCGCGCGCCCGGACCAAGTAGAGCGCGCGCGCGCGCCTGGACCAAGTAGAGCGCGCGCGCGCGCGGACCAAGAGGCGCGCGCGCTCGCGGACCAAGTGGCGAGCGCGCGCGCCCGGACCAAGTGGCGCGCGCGCGCGCCCGGACCAACTGGCGCGCGCGCGCGCGCTCGCGGACCAAGAAGCGCGCGCGCGCGCCTGGACCAAGTGGCGCGCGCGCGCGCGCGCGCGCACGGACCAAGTGGCACGCGCGCGCCCGGACCAAGTGGCGCGCGCGCTCGCGGACTAAGTGGCGCGAGCACGCGCGCGAACCAAGAGGCGCGCGCGCTCGAGGACCAAGTGGCGCGCTGCGCGCGGACCAAGAGGCGCGCGCGCGCGCCCGGACCAAGAGGCGCGCGCACGCGCCCAGACCAAGTGGCGCGCGTGCTCGCGGACAAAGAGGCGCGCGCGCGCGCCCGGACCAAGTGGCGCGCGCGCTCGCCAGGACCAAGTGGCGCGCGCTGCGCGCGCGCCCGGACCAAGTGGTGTGCGCACGTGCCCGGACCAAGTGGCGCGCGCGCGCGCGGACCAAGAGGCGCGCGCGCGCGCGCCCGGACCAAGTGGCGCGCGCGCGCGCCCGGACCAAGTGGCGCGCGCGCGCGCCCGGACCAAGTGGTGCGCGCGCGCGCCCGGACCAAGTGGCGCACGCTGCGCGCGCCCGGACCAAGTGGCGCGCGCGCGCGCCCGGACCAAGTGGCGCGCGCGCGCGAGCCCGGACCAAGTGGCGCGCGCGCGCGCCCAGACCAAGTGGAGCGCTCGCGCGCGCCCGGACCAAGTGGAGGGCGCGCGCGCCCGGACCAAGTGGCGTGCGCGCGCGCCCGGACCAAGACGCGCACGCGCGCGCGCGCGCCCGGACCAAGACGCGCGCGCGCGCGCCCGGACCAAGTGCCGCGCGCGCGCGCCCGGACCAAGTGGCGCGCGCGCGCGCCCGGACCAAGTGGCGCGCGCGCGCCCGGACCAAGTGGCGCGCGCGCGCTCGCCCGGACCAAGTGGCGCGCGCGCGCGCGCCTGGACCAAGTGCCGCGCGCGCGCGCCCGGACCAAGTGGCGCGCGCGCGCGCCTGGACCAAGTGGCGCGCGCGCGCGCTCGCCCGGACCAAGTGGCGCGCGCGCGCGGACTAAGAGGCGCGCGCGCGCGCCTGGACCAAGAGGCGCGCGCACGCGCCCGGACCAAGTGGCGCGTGCTCGCGGACGAAGAGGCGCGCGCGCGCGCCCGGACCAAGTGGTGTGAGCGCTTGCCCGGACCAAGTGGCGCGCGCGCGCGCGGACCAAGAGGCGCGCGCGCGCGCGCCCGGACCAAGTGGCGCGCGCGCGCGCCCGGACCAAGTGGCGCTCGCGCGCGCGCCGGGACCAAGTGGCGCGCGCGCGGACCAAGTGGCGCGCGCGCGCTTGGACCAACTGGCGCGCGCGCGCGCCCGGACCAACTGGCGCGCGCGCGCGCATGCGGACCAAGAGGCGCGCGCGCGCGCCCGGACCAAGTGGCGCGCGCGCGCGCCCGGACCAAGTGGCGCGCGCTCGCGCCTGGACCAGGTGGCGCGCGCGCGCGCCCGGACCTAATGGCGCGCGCGCGCCCGGACCAAGTGGCGCGCTCGCGCGCAGGACCAAGTGGCGCGCGCGCGCGCCCGGACCTGGTGGCGCGCACGCGCCCGGACCAAGCGGCGCGCGCGCGCGCGCTCCCGGACCAAGCGGCGCGCGCGCGCGCTCCTGGACCAAGCGGCGCGCGCGCGCGCGCCCGGACCAAGCGGCGCGCGCGCGCGCTCGGACCAAGTGGCGCGCGCGCGCGCGCCCGGACAAAGTGGCGCGCGCTGCGCGCGCCCGGACCAAGTGGCGCGCGCGCGCGCGCCCGGACCAAGTGGCGCGCGCGCGCGCCCGGACCAAGTGGCGCGCGCGCGCGCCCAGACCTAGTGGCGCGCGCGCGCGCGGACCTAGTTGCGGGCGCGCGCGCCCGGATCAAGTGGAGCGCGTGCGCGCCCGGACCAAGTGACGCGCGCGCGCGCCCGGACCAAGTGGCGCGCGCGCGCGCGCCCGGACCAAGTGGCGCGCGCGCGCGCGCGCCCGGACCAAGTGGCGCGCGCGCGCGCGCCCGGACCAAGTGGCGCGCGCGCGCGCGCGCGGACCAAGTGGCGCGCGCGCGCGGACCAAGTGGCGCGCGCGCGCGGACCAAGTGGCGCGCGCGCGCGCCCGGACCAAGTGGCGCGCGCACGCGCGCTCGGACCAAGTGGAGCGCGCGCGACCAAGTTGCGCGCGCACGCGCCCGGACCAAGTGGCGCGCGCTCGCGCCTGGACCACGTGGCGCGCGCGCGCCCGGACCTAGTGGCGCGCGCGCGCGCGCGGACCAAGTGGCGTGCGCGCGCGCCCGGACCAAGTGGAGCGCGCGCGCGACCGGTCCAAGTAGCGCGCGCGCGCGCCTGGACCTAGCGGCGCGCGCGCGCGCGGACCAAGTGGCGCGCGCGCGCGTGCGGACCAAGTGGCGCGCGCCCGCGCCCGGACCAAGTGGCGCGCGCCCGCGCCCGGACCTAGTGGCGCGCGCGCGCGCGGACCAAGTGGCGCGCGCGCGCGCCCGGACCAAGTGGCGCGCGCGCGCGCGCGCCCGGACCAAGTGGCGCGCGCGCGCGCGCCCGGACCAAGTGGCGCGCGCGCGCGCCCCCGGACCAAGTGGCGCGCGCGCGCGCCCGGACCAAGTGGCGCGCGCGCGCGCCCGGACCAAGTGGCGCGCGCGCGCGCCCGGACCAAGTGGCGCGCGCGCGCGCCCGGACCTAGTGGCGGGCGCACGCGCGGACCTAGTGGCGGGCGCGCGCGCCCGGACCAAGTGGAGCGCGCGCGCGCCCGGACCAAGTGGCGCGCGCGCGCGCTCGGACCAAGTGGCGGGCGCGCGCCCGGAAGTGGCGCGCGCGCGACGCCCAAGTGGCGCGCGCGCGCCCGGACCTAGTGGCGCGCGCGCGCTCGGACCAAGAGGGGCGCGCTCGCGCCCGGACCAAGTGGCGCGCGCGCGCGCCCGGACCAAGTGGCGCGCGCGCGCGCCCGGACCAAGTGGCGCGCGCGCGCGCCCGGACCAAGTGGCGCGCGCGCGCGCCCGGACCAAGTGGCGCGCGCGCGCGCCCGGACCAAGTGGCGCGCGCGCTGCGCGCGGATTAAGTGGCGCGCGCGCGCGCGCGGACCAAGAGGCACGCGCGCGCGCCCTGACCAAGTGGCGCGCGCGCGCGCCCGGACCTAGTGGCGCGCGCTCGCGCGGACCAAGTGGCGCGCGCGCGCGCCCGGACCAAGTGGCGCGCGCGCGCGCCCGGACCAAGTGGCGCGCGCTCGCGCCCGGACCAAGTGGCGCGCGCGCGCGCCTGGACCTGGTGGCGCGCGCGCGCCCGGACCAAGTGGCGTGTGCGCCCGCCGACCAAGTGGCGCGCGCGCGCGCCCGGACCAAGTGGCGCGCGCTTGCGCCCGGACCAAGTAAAGCGCGCGCGCGCGGCCGGACCAAGTGGAGCGCGCGCGCGCGCGCCGGACCAAGTGGAGCGCGCGCGCGCGCCCGGACCAAGTGGCGCGCGCGCGCGCCTGGACCAACTGGCGTGCGCGCGCGCTCGCGGACCAAGAGGCGCGCGCGCGCGCCCGGACCAAGTGGCGCGCGCGCGCGCGCTGGGACCAAGTGGGGCGCTCGCGCGCCGGGACCAAGTGGCGCGCGCGCGCGCTCTCGGACCAAGTGGCGCGCGCGCGCGGACCTAGTGGCAGGCGCGCGCGCGCGGACCAAGTGGAGCGCGCGCGCGCCCGGACCAAGTGACGCGCGCGCGCGCTCGGACCAAGTGGAGCGCGCGCGCGCCCGGACCAAGTGGCGCGCGCGCGCGCGGACCAAGTGGCGCGCGCGCGCGCGGACCAAGTGGCGCGCGCGCGCGCGGACCAAGTGGCGCGCGCGCGCGCGGACCAAGTGGCGCGCGCGCGCGCCCGGACCAAGGCGCGCGCGCGCGCGCCCGGACCAAGTGGCGCGCGCGCGCGCCCGGACCAAGTGGCGCGTGCGCGCGCCCGGACCAAGTGGCGCGCGCGCGCCCGGACCAAGTGGCGCGCGAGCGCGCGGACCAAGTGGCGCGCGCGCGCGCCCGGACCAAGTGGAGCGCGCGCGCGCCCGGTCCAAGTGGCGCGCGCGCGCGCCCGGACCTAGTGGCGCGCGCGCGCGCGGACCAAGTGGCGCGCGCGCGCGCCGGGACCTAGTGGCGCGCGCGCGCGCCCGGACCTAGTGGCGCGCGCGCGCGCCCGGACCAAGCGGCGCGCGCACGCGCCCGGACCAAGCGGCGCGTGCGCGCGCGCCCGGACCAAGCGGCGCGCGCGCCCGGACCAAGCGGCGCGCGCGCGCGCGCCCGGACCAAGCGGCGCGCGCGCGCGCGCCCGGACCAAGCGGCGCGCGCGCGCGCCCCCGGACCAAGCGGCGCGCGCGCGCGCCCCCGGACCAAGCGGCGCGCGCGCGCGCCCCCGGACCAAGCGGCGCGCGCGCGCGCCCGGACCAAGCGGCGCGCGCGCGCGCCCGGACCTGGTGGCGCGCGCGCGCCCGGACCAAGTGGCGTGCACGCGCGCCGACCAAGTGGAGCGCGCGCGCGCCCGGACCAAGCGGCGCGCGCGCGCCCGGACCAAGTGGGGCGCGCGCGCGCCTGGACCAAGTGGCGCGCGCACGCGGACCAAGAGGCGCGCGCGCGCGCTCGGACCAAGTGGCGCGCGCGCGCGCCCGGACCAAGTGGCGCGCGCGCCCGCCCGGACCAAGTGGCGCCCGCGCCCGCCCGGAACAAGTGGCGCGCGCGCCCGCCCGGACCAAGTGGCGCGCACGCGCGGCCGGACCAAGTGGCGCGCGCGCGCGCCCGGACCAAGAGGCGCGCGCGCGCGCCCGGACCAAGAGGGGCGCGCGCGCGGACCAAGAGGCACGCGCGCGCGCGCCCTGACCAAGTGGCGTGTGCGCGCGCCCGGACCAAGTAGAGCGCGCGCGCGCGCCTGGACCAAGTAGAGCGCGCGCGCGCGCGGACCAAGAGGCGCGCGCGCTCGCGGACCAAGTGGCGAGCGCGCGCGCCCGGACCAAGTGGCGCGCGCGCGCGCCCGGACCAACAGGCGCGCGCGCGCGCTCGCGGACCAAGAAGCGCGCGCGCGCGCCTGGACCAAGTGGCGCGCGCGCGCGCACGGACCAAGTGGCACGCGCGCGCCCGGACCAAGTGGCGCGCGCGCTCGCGGACTAAGTGGCGCGAGCACGCGCGCGAACCAAGAGGCGCGCGCGCTCGAGGACCAAGTGGCGCGCGCGCGCGGACCAAGAGGCGCGCGCGCGCGCCCGGACCAAGAGGCGCGCGCACGCGCCCAGACCAAGTGGCGCGCGTGCTCGCGGACAAAGAGGCGCGCGCGCGCGCCCGGACCAAGTGGCGCGCGCGCTCGCCAGGACCAAGTGGCGCGCGCGCGCGCCCGGACCAAGTGGTGTGCGCACGTGCCCGGACCAAGTGGCGCGCGCGCGCGCGGACCAAGAGGCGCGCGCGCGCGCGCCCGGACCAAGTGGCGCGCGCGCGCGCCCGGACCAAGTGGCGCGCGCGCGCGCCCGGACCAAGTGGCGCGCGCGCGCGCCCGGACCAAGTGGCGCACGCGCGCGCGCCCGGACCAAGTGGCGCGCGCGCGCGCCCGGACCAAGTGGCGCGCGCGCGCGAGCCCGGACCAAGTGGCGCGCGCGCGCGCCCGGACCAAGTGGAGCGCTCGCGCGCGCCCGGACCAAGTGGAGGGCGCGCGCGCCCGGACCAAGTGGCGTGCGCGCGCGCCCGGACCAAGACGCGCACGCGCGCGCCCGGACCAAGTGCCGCGCGCGCGCGCCCGGACCAAGACGCGCGCGCCCGCGCCCGGACCAAGTGCCGCGCGCGCGCGCCCGGACCAAGTGGCGCGCGCGCGCGCCCGGACCAAGTGGCGCGCGCGCGCCCGGACCAAGTGGCGCGCGGGCGCTTGCCCGGACCAAGTGGCGCGCGCGCGCGCGCGCCTGGACCAAGTGCCGCGCGCGCGCGCCCGGACCAAGTGGCGCGCGCGCGCGCCTGGACCAAGTGGCGCGCGCGCGCTCGCCCGGACCAAGTGGCGCGCGCGCGCGGACTAAGAGGCGCGCGCGCGCGCCTGGACCAAGAGGCGCGCGCACGCGCCCGGACCAAGTGGCGCGTGCTCGCGGACGAAGAGGCGCGCGCGCGCGCCCGGACCAAGTGGTGTGAGCGCTTCCCCGGACCAAGTGGCGCGCGCGCGCGCGGACCAAGAGGCGCGCGCGCGCGCGCCCGGACCAAGTGGCGCGCGCGCGCGCCCGGACCAAGTGGCGCTCGCGCGCGCGCCGGGACCAAGTGGCGCGCGCGCGGACCAAGTGGCGCGCGCGCGCTTGGACCAACTGGCGCGCGCGCGCGCCCGGACCAACTGGCGCGCGCGCGCGCACGCGGACCAAGAGGCGCGCGCGTGCGCCCGACCAAGTGGCGCGCGCGCGCGCACGGACCAAGTGGCGCGCGCGCGCGCGGACCAAGAGGGGCGCGCGTGGACCAAGGCCGGGATTGGAGTACAGAAGTAGAGGAGGAGAGGAGGAGCATGCGTTGTCATGACAGTTGAAGACAAGGGCGCTCTTTGGAGGAGGAGAGGAGGAGAATAGTAGAGGAGGAGAGCAGGAGAGGCGGGTAAAGGGAGGACAGAGCCGCCAATGACCTTTTCTTTGGAGAGCAGCAGGTCGTTGTCATGACAAGGGCGCTGTTTGTCCTTATTTTTGTCAACTGCTAAGAGTTTGGCTCTGAGATCTCTTTGAACGCTTAGTTTTACACAGCGAGTACAATACTAGCTGTTTGTTCTTTTGCTTTAAGCCTAGCTTCGCTACTGCTGCTCCCTGAGAATTATGTGTGAAGGTCGTTGTCATGACAGTCGGCCACGAGGGCCTCTTTGGAGGTGGAGAGGAGAGGAGGAGGAGAGTTGGAGAGGAGGAGGAGGAGGAGTAAAGGAGGAGAGAAGGAGAAAGCTTAAGGCTTACTTTCTCCTTGGAGAGCAGCAGCAGGTCGTTGTCATGGCAGTCCGCTACGAGTGCCTCTTTGGACGCCACCCCCACCATGTGGAACTCATTGGCTCGCTCACAGCGCACCGCCACCACCAGATGACTCTCCATGCCTCCTGGCACGAGGGGAGACACGGAGGCCACATGGGTGGAAATAACAGAGGGGAGCCGGGTAAGAGTGGGGGAAAGAGAGGAGAGGCACACGAGCTCACAGCGCACCGCCACCACCAGATGACTCTCCATGCCTCCTGGGGAACCTGATGGGGAACCTGATGGGGTGGGAACCTGATGGGGTGGGAACCTGATGGGGTGGGAACCTGATGGGGAACCTGATGGGGAACCTGATGGGGAACCTGATGGGGAACCTGATGGGGAACCTGATGGGGAACCTGATGGGGAACCTGATGGGGAACCTGATGGGGAACCAGATGGGGAACCTGATGGGGTTGGAACCTGATGGGGTGGGAACCTGATGGGGTGGGAACCTGATGGGGAACCTGATGGGGAACCTGATGGGGTGGGAACCTGATGGGGTGGGAACCTGATGGGGTGGGAACCTGATGGGGAACCTGATGGGGAACCTGATGGGGAACCTGATGGGGAACCTGATGGGGAACCTGATGGGGAACCTGATGAGGAACCTGATGGGGAACCTGATGGGGAACCTGATGGGGAACCTGATGTTGAACCTGATGGGGAACCTGATGGGGAACCTGATGGGGAACCTGATGGGGAACCTGATGGGGAACCTGATGGGGAACCTGATGAGGAACCTGATGGGGAACCTGATGGGGAACCTGATGGGGAACCTGATGGGGAACCTGATGGGGTGGGAACCTGATGGGGAGGGAACCTGATAGGGTGGGAACCTGATGGGGAACCTGATGGGGAACCTGATGGGGAACCTGATGGGGAACCTGATGGGGAACCTGATGGGGAACCTGATGGGGATGGGGAACCTGATGGGGAACCTGATGGGGAACCTGATGGGGAACCTGATGGGGAACCTGATGGGGAACCTGATGGGGAACCTGATGAGGAACCTGATGGGGAACCTGATGGGGAACCTGATGGGGAACCTGATGGGGAACCTGATGGGGTGGGAACCTGATGGGGTGGGAACCTGATGGGGTGGGAACCTGATGGGGAACCTGATGGGGAACCTGATGGGGAACCTGATGGGGAACCTGATGGGGAACCTGATGGGGAACCTGATGGGGAACCTGATGTGGAACCTGATGGGGAACCTGATGGGGAACCTGATGGGGAACCTGATGGGGAACCTGATGGGAAACCTGATGGGGAACCTGATGGGGAACCTGATGGGGAACCTGATGAGGAACCTGATGGGGAACCTGATGGGGAACCTGATGGGGAACCTGATGGGGAACCTGATGGGGAACCTGATGGGGTGGGAACCTGATGGGGTGGGAACCTGATGGGGGGAACCTGATGGGGAACCTGATGGGGAACCTGATGGGGAACCTGATGGGGAACCTGATGGGGAACCTGATGGGGAACCTGATGGGGAACCTGATGGGGAACCTGATGGGGAACCTGATGGGGAACCTGATGGGGAACCTGATGGGGAACCTGATGGGGAACCTGATGGGGGACCTGATGGGGAACCTGATGGGGAACCTGATGGGGTGGGAACCTGATGGGGTGGGAACCTGATGGGGTGGGAACCTGATGGGGAACCTTATGGGGAACCTGATGGGGAACCTGATGGGGAACCTGATGGGGAACCTGATGGGGAACCTGATGGGGAACCTGATGTGGAACCTGATGGGGAACCTGATGGGGAACCTGATGGGGAACCTGATGGGGAACCTGATGGGAAACCTGATGGGGAACCTGATGGGGAACCTGATGGGGAACCTGATGAGGAACCTGATGGGGAACCTGATGGGGAACCTGATGGGGAACCTGATGGGGAACCTGATGGGGAACCTGATGGGGAACCTGATGGGGAACCTGATGGGGAACCTGATGGGGTGGGAACCTGATTGGGAACCTGATGGGGAACCTGATGGGGAACCTGATGGGGAACCTGATGGGGAACCTGATGGGGAACCTGATGGGGAACCTGATGGGGATCTGATGGGGAACCTGATGGGGAACCTGATGGGGTGGGAACCTGATGGGGAACCTGATGGGGAACCTGATGGGGAACCTGATGGGGAACCTGATGGGGTGGGAACCTGATGGGGTGGGAACCTGATGGGGAACCTGATGTGGAACCTGATGGGGAACCTGATGGGGTGGGAACCTGATGGGGAACCTGATGGGGAACCTGATGGGGAACCTGATGGGGAACCTGATGGGGTGGGAACCTGATGGGGTGGGAACCTGATGGGGTGGGAACCTGATGGGGAACCTGATGGGGAATTTGATGGGGAACCTGATGGGGAACCTGATGGGGAACCTGATGGGGAACCTGATGGGGAACCTGATGGGGAACCTGTTGGGGAACCTGATGGGGAACCTGATGGGGAACCTGATGGGGAACCTGATGGGGTGGGAACCTGATGGGGTGGGAACCTGATGGGGAACCTGATGGGGAACCTGATGGGGTGGGAACCTGATGGGGAACCTGATGGGGAACCTGATGGGGAACCTGATGGGGTGGGGAACCTGATGGGGAACCTGATGGGGAACCTGATGGGGAACCTGATGGGGAACCTGATGGGGAACCTGATGGGGAACCTGATGGGGTGGGAACCTGATGGGGTGGGAACCTGATGGGGTGGGAACCTGATGGGGTGGGAACCTGATGGGGTGGGAACCTGATGGGGAACCTGATGGGGAACCTGATGGGGTGGGAACCTGATGGGGAACCTGATGGGGAACCTGCTGGGGAACCTGATGGGGAACCTGATGGGGAAGCTGATGGGGAACCTGATGGGGAACCTGATGGGGAACCTGATGGGGAACCTGATGGGGTGGGGAACCTGATGGGGAACCTGATGGGGTGGGAACCTGATGGGGTGGGAACCTGATGGGGTGGGAACCTGATGGGGAACCTGATGGGGAACCTGATGGGGAACCTGATGGGGAACCTGATGGGGAACCTGATGGGGAACCTGATGGGGAACCTGATGGGGAACCTGATGGGGAACCTGATGGGGGACCTGATGGGGGACCTGATGGGGAACCTGATGGGGAACCTGATGGGGTGGGAACCTGATGGGGAACCTGATGGGGTGGGAACCTGATGGGTTGGGAACCTGATGGGGTGGGAACCTGATGGGGAACCTGATGGGGAACCTGATGGGGAACCTGATGGGGAACCTGGTGGGAAACCTGATGGGGAACCTGATGGGGAACCTGATGGGGAACCTGATGGGGAACCTGATGGGGAACCTGATGGGGAACCTGATGGGGAACCTGATGGGGAACCTGATGGGGAACCTGATGGGGAACCTGATGGGGAACCTGATGGGGTGGGAACCTGATGGGGTGGGAACCTGATGGGGTGGGAACCTGATGGGGAACCTGATGGGGAACCTGATGGGGAACCTCATGGGGAACCTCATGGGGAACCTGATGGGGAACCTCATGGGGAACCTGATGGGGAACCTGATGGGGAACCTCATGGGGAACCTGATGGGGAACCTGATGGGGAACCTGATGGGGAACCTGATGGGGTGGGAACCTGATGGGGTGGGAACCTGATGGGGAACCTGATGGGGAACCTGATGGGGAACCTGATGGGGAACCTGATGGGGAACCTGATGGGGAACCTGATGGGAAACCTGATGGGAAACCTGATGGGGAACCTGATGGGGAACCTGATGGGGAACCTGATGGGGAACCTGATGGGGAACCTGATGGGGAACCTGATGGGGAACCTGATGGGGAACCTGATGGGGAACCTGATGGGGAACCTGGTGGGGAACGCTTGGGCGAATAAAATTCGGGCAGCCGGGAAAAAAAATTCGCGCGCGCGAAACTGAAATTTCAACGCGAAATTTTTTTTTCACGCCATTAGAACCCCTTCCCACCCATTTCAACCATATAAACCAGCCCCCCAAGCAAATTTGAATCCCCCCCAATCAGATATGATGAGATGTGAACTTTTTGTGAAGTCTTAGAATGGGGAAAAAATTATGGTACGGGGAAAATTTCACCTCATTGTGACATTGGTGCATGTCCCCCACCCTCCCCATGCCCCATAGAACTTTTTTTGGTCTGCCCGAACTTTTTGTTAGGCCTGCCTGGGCTTCCGTCTAATACTGCGTCTAATCTATACTGTCTAGCGTCTAGCGTCTTAGACGCTGCGTCTAGACAGTCGCGTCTAAGACGCTAGACGCGTCTTCCGCAACTAAGGGGGCGGATGGGGAGGCACGGGGGAGGTGGTGGTGCTGAGGCGCTGTGGTCCACGCCCACGGGAGGGCCGTCTGTGAGCTGGTGGCCCTCAATCACACCAGCTACCTACCAACTCGTCACGTGGCCCACGCCCGTGGGAGCAGCGTCACTCCTCGCCACGGGAATGGAATGGAATGGAATGAAATGGACAACGCCATGGGTACAGCCCCTCACCTTGCTCCTCCGCCCCTCTGAGGATCTGCGCGCGGCACTCCTCCAGCAGCAGGCGTTCAAACACGTCCACATACTCCTCTGCGCTGCTGAACTGCACCGGCACCTCCCGTAGCTCCTCCTCCTCCCCGCCCTCCAACTCCCCCTCCGCCTCTGCCGCCTCCTCTGCTTCCGCGGCTTCTTCCGCTGCTGCTTCCTGTGCTGCTGCCCCGCCTTCCCCCTCGCCTGCCTCTCCGCCGTCCACCTCCATCCCCTCCCCCTGCGCCCCTAGCGCCGCTGCTGCCTCCCCGCCTGCCTCTGCATCAGCCAAAGCAGCATCCTTCGCCCCATCACCCTCCCTCTCCTCCCCCTCCTTCTCCTCCACTACAGTATCAGCAGCAGCAGCAGGGAGTTGGGGGAGCTTCCTGGGTTGCCGCTTCCTCTCCCTCACCTGCTCGTGCGCCCTCAGTGCCACATGCGACAGGAGTGGGGGCGAACGGCAGGCGGCGGGAAGAGAGAACGAACAGGGGGGAAAAGGACGACGGAGAACCGGAGAAGGGAACAGGAGCAGGGAGCAAAGGGAAAGCAAGGGGCGGGAGGGGAGAGGAACGGTGACGAGGTCACCTTGGAGAGCGCGAGCATGTGGAAGAAGTCCCAGCTCAGCACGGTGCGCAGCAGCCGCGCCGTGCTCGCCGCCTTCTCCCCGCCCGCCTCCTTCCCGCCCCGCCCGCCTCCCGCTCCGCCCGCCACTGCGCCCACCGCCATCCCGCCTTCCCGCAGACTCCTCGCTAGCTCGTTCGATGGCTACAATTATCCCTCGCTAGCTCACTGCTTCACGTGCGCGCGCGCGCTCGTTCTCCCAGCATGGGGGCGCCTACAGCTGCTACTGTGCTCCGCCGCTCGCTGCCGCTGCGCGATAACGGGGTCCAGATCGCGGTGCTAACAGCTTGCAACGAACTGCCGTTCGCGGCGCGAAAAACAAATAAGGAGCGGAATGCGGTAACAAGACCAGACAGGCGCAGTTAATGACGGACGAAGGAGTTCAGTTCGGTGATAATCTGCACTTCCCGAAGTTTTATATGGCTGGGCTCTAAAACCCTGCACACAAATCTTCGTGTTCAATCAGCTTCTCGGGTCCGACAGTATCGGGTCAAAAAATCTGCAGGGTTGAAGGTTCAGGGTTTCGGAGATTTGGCGCGCACTGTAATTTCCAGCTCTATTTCTGCTCCAATTCACGCCTGATCTCGTGCCATCGCTCACTATGGCTCCTCGCGCAACGCCTCGCGTTCACTCATACTCACCGCGTTCGCTCTCACTGATCCCCACTAGCCAAGCACTCTAGCTGTCGAGCGGTCGTGCTCCGCTTGGAGTGCCAATCCGCAGGGGCGCCATGGCAACCCCCTTAGCGCAGACGCGCGCGCCCGGCTTGCGCGGAGAAATGCTTCCCCTCCCCGCGCGTCGCGTCCGCTTAGCGCATGCTTGCGGGCTACGTGGCTTAATCTCGCGCGTGCCACTGTCGCGGGAACAAAGTGTTGGGCGGAACTGCAGTTCCCTGCAGAAAATGCGCTTATATCAGGGCCTTCGCTTAACGGGGCATTCATGCAGGCATCAAAGGGTGAACGAGCTTTGTCTGTTCTGTACCCCACATGTTCGCGGAAAGGGCGCAGGGGCGCACGATGGCCGAATATGCGCCGCCTCTGAGGGAAGGCGGAGGGGCAGCAGCGTGCAGCAGGGGAAGGGCGGACGGACTGGCGGAAAGGATGGGTTGAAAGCAGGAAAGGGGAAGGGGGAAGGGAGGTACCGGGGGGGAGGGGCGGCGGAGAGACAGACCCTGCAAGGGCTGATTACGCTTGAGCGGGCGTTGGAAGAGGGAAGAAGGGCAGAGGGGAAGGGGAGGTGGAAGCGGCGGGTTGTGCTGCTGCGGTGCGACCTGAGTGACTTGGTGGAAGGGGGTGATGCGGGCAAAGCGGAGAAGGGGGAGGGGGAGGGGGAAGCGGAGGGGGGGGGGGGGGGAGGGAGATGGGGGGGAGGAACACGAGGTGCGGAGTGTGGGCAGTTTAAGGCTGATGCTGCGGGAGTGGGCGCGGAGATACGCGCTGGTGGTGGTGGTGGCGGGGGAGTGGCCGCCTGACACGGCCTCTCAACCTGCTGTCGCTGGTGAGACATGCGGCATGATGCATGTGGCATGTGGCATGAGGCAGGTATGGCACATGGAAACCGCCTTACCACATGGCTACTCCTGCATGGCTTCATGGCGATCGTGAGGCATGACCCCTCTCACTTCTCCCATTCGTTCTTAAAGCCCTCCCTTATTCCAATTCCCCTTTTTCCCCCCCCACGTGCAGCCCTGCTATCCACGGCATGCGGCCTGCCCCAGTCCCAGCCTGTCCAGGTCGCACCTCTGCACTTTGCCCCTCTCCTCTCACCCTCATCACCAACAACCCCCACCACCAACCCTCACCCAGCAACCACCCCCAACTCCTCCTCTCATCTACCCCAGTCCCCTGCCCTCACGGCCCCTCCTCCTCGCGTCCTGCTGCTGCCCAACCTCCGCCACGTGTCATCCACCGATGCCGCCAACTCACCCACCCTAGCTGCCACGCTAGCAGGCGTGGCAGAAGAACCAGAGAGCGCAGCAGCACACCAGGAGCTGCAAAGCCCAACGGCTCTCTCCTCCCCCACGCCCCCCTCCCTCTCCACTGCCAACATCCGCACGTCCTCTGTCCCGGTGGTAGATCTCGTGGTGCTGGACGCGTCTTCTGCAAGCCCAGCGGGGCAGCAGGAGGAGGCAGGAGAGCCAGCCCCCCGCCCTAATCTGCGCGTGTCTGCGTGCCCGCTGGTAGACCTGGTGGTGCTGGACGCGCCCTCCGCATGCCACCGCGTGCTGGCATCGTGCGTGGGCGTGGCGGCAGTGGTGGGGCGAGCCGTGGCCGGGCTGAGAGTGGAGCGCGAGCTCATGGGGGTGCTGCACGCCTTGGGGGACGTGGGGGAAGCAGGGGACGTGGGGGACGTTGGGGACGTGGGGGACGTGGGAGTGTTAAGGTTGATGGGGAGAGGGGAGGCTGGAGAGGTGCGTGGTGGTGGTGAGGGGCGCAGTGCGGTGGTGGCGGTGGTGGGAGTGGCAAGCATGGGTCGCAGTGGTGCGTTGATCCGCGCCCTGCTGCCTCGCTGCCATGCGCTTGTGCTCTCTGGCCCTGTGCTGCCCGCCCTCCTCGCTGCCGTTACTGCTGGTACTCTTGCTGGTTCAGTTGGTCGTGGGTTACATCTCGCCCGCCTGCCCGAGTTCCGTACTCTCGGCACGCTGCATTGCACTGATCCAGCAGCAGTGCACAGTGATATAGATGGAGATGTGATAGCAGAGAGAGGGGAGACAGCAGAGGGAAACGAGGTAGCAGAGCGAGAGGAGGCAGCAGCTCAAAATACCCACATCTCATCCCTCCTATCATCTCTCCCGCACCCATCCCCTCAAGCCCAGGCGGAAGCCTCTGCTTTCCTCTCCTCGCTGCCCCCTCCCTTCCTCTCCCGCCTCGTGCTGCCTCTTGCTGTGCGTGCGGTACCTGCTACTCACGGCACCACCACTACCACTCCCTCCCACAACTACCACCACCAGCAGCAGCAGAAGAAGCAGTTTGAGAGCGAGCAGCAGAGTGACTCGCAGCAGCAGGTGGAGCTGTGTGCGTCAAGCATTGAAGACGTCGCTCGCCTCTGTACTGCCCTCAACTGCCAGGTCTGCACCCTCCTTCGCCTCATGCCGTCCCCTTTCTGCGCGTGCTCCCTCATGCCTCTCACCACAGTGCCCCAAGTGCATTCCCCCCACGTCCGCATTCCCTCTCCTCCGTTCTTCCCTCCGTTGTTCCCACCTCTTGTCTCTCCCCCCTTGGATTGGATCACAGCAGACAGTCTTCTGGGCTGGCTCTATCTCCCTGCACCCAACAAGAGAGGCGCCAGCATCACGGCAGGGCACCCATGCATCACTGCGTGCGGTACTATATGCGGCAGAGCCAGGATCGCATGCGGCAGGGCAGGGATCGCATGCGGCAGGGCAGGGATCGCTTGCGGCAGGGCAGGGATCGCATGCGGCAGGGCAGGGATCGCTTGCGGCAGGGCAGGGATCGCATGCGGCAGGGCAGGGATCGCATGCGGCAGGGCAGGGATCGCTTGCGGCAGGGCAGGGATCGCATGCGCTGCTTTGTGTGGACTCTGCTCTGCTCTCCCTCCTCACCACCGCACCCACCAGCGAGAGCAACGGCGCCAGCAGTGATCTCCGTGTTGGCGCGGGTGGCACGGATACCGCTGGTCAGATGAGGCGGCCACAGCTCATAATGGCCGGGCGGCAGCTGCAGCAGGTGCTGGGGCGGCAGTTACGGCAGCATGTGAAGGTGGTGGGGGGGAAGGGGAGGAGAGACGGTGATGGGGATGGGGATGGGGGCAGGGAGTGTGTGGTGGTGGATGGAGGCACGGCTCTGCTTCGAGGACTCCAAGGGATGCCTCTGCCTGGCGTTGACTGCCTTGACTTTGTGAGTTGACTGGCATTCGCTGCATTGACTAGTCGTGAAACCAGTTCTGACCAGAACCATTATCTACCCGTCTCTTCCTTTATCTCTCCTCTTTATCTCTCCTGTACCCAGGTGCCACTGCCGCCTCCTGATTGGTCCGCAGTCTTCCTAGATCCCTCGCTGCCTCTCACTGTTGACATCGGCTGTGGTGAGTGCGAGACTGCTGCATGCCTGGAAGATTGAGAGGAGTTGTGAGAATTAGAGAGCTCCAGAGGGACCCAGAGGGATTCGGCAATGTTCAGAGAGAAGAAGAGAAGCTTAGAGTGTGCACCCTGGGTGGCCTTTGCCGTGCATGTGCTCATGTGTTCATGTGTGCATGTGCGTATGGGTGCAGGCAACGGGGGCTTCTGTCGAAGCATTGCTCCGCGGTTCAGAGGGTCAAGGAACTTCCTTGGGGTGGAGATCAACCGCCATGTGCGTGGGGTTAGGGAGATGGGTACATGTGCAAGTAAACGAGTGAATACCCATCCTCACTCACAGTGACACGCACACTATCTAAGTCACTCTCACTTGCACTCTCATTCTCACTTACAATCACACTCGCACTTTCATGCACACTCACATTCACTCGCACTCCCATTCACACTCTCTCTCACCCTCTCTCCCATTCACCCCCTTGATCACACATCACACCAGCTGGTGAAGAAGGCGCTCTCTATGGCTACCAGCTCTCCCCCACCGCATGCCCCACACAGGCCCACCTCTACCAGGGACACTCGCAGGCAGCGCAGCGAGCACACACCAAGCAACGTGTATGCACGCCGCCAGGCGCCCCCCTTCCGTCCTGTATACGTAGCATCCTTGCAACTCCTGTGTCGAATCAAAGCCACCGCACGCTAATGTGGCAGCATAGCACCCACGCACCTCTGCAACCCATGCTGCGGTTCCCTCTACTGTCCTGCACTTGTGCATACGTAGCATCCTCGCACCGCGCGTTTTTCCATGACTGCCCGCCCCTCCTGCTGTATGGCTGCTCTTCTGGTGCTCAATGCAGGTGGTTCATTCATGCCAATGCCACCACGTCTCTGCACGCGCTGCTAATCGGCTACGCTGGACCCATTAACCTCTTCACCATCCAGGTCCCCCCTCCCACCCCGCATTCTCCTGAAGTGTCTTGAGAGTTGACTCACAACTCATCCCTGCCCCATCCACCTCCTCAGCTTTCAGCTCCCCATCCCAATTTCTCATCTCCATTTTAAAAGGGTGTTCGAACGTTCCGTTTTCGCCTAAGCATTCTCTCAACGCCCCCTTGCCCCTCTCTCGCCCATGGCAGTGCCCGGACCCGGACTTTGCGGCGAGCAGGAGAGCGCAGGAGAGGGGCACAGCACACGTGCACCGATGGGGCATGCTCACCCCTGCCCTCGTGCACGCCATGCTTGCCCTGCTGCACCCCTCTGGCAAGGTGCGTACTCTGTGCCGCGCTACACCAATGTGTGTGCGTGTATGTATGAATTTCTCTGGTATGGTGTACTTTTGAGTATCAATCCACATGGAGCGATACAAATCGGGAATACGTGTACCGTAACTTGTTTTTTTTCCTGGCTTGCAGGTTCTCATCGAGTCAGACATTGAGGATGTCGCAACGCGGTTGACATGTGATGCCATTCGATGGTCTGACTGCCGGCTCGTGTTGTGCAATGGCAATGTGGACGACCCCAGTGATGGTAGTAATGGGAGTGGCGTTATAGGGCCTCACGTAGCACAAGGTTGTGGAGTTCCCGAGGGTCCCTTTACACCACATGAACCTTTGTTAGCAGAAGTGGAGTCCGATTGGGAAGTGCATGCCAAGAAAAAAGGCCGGTCGATGACATCGTTTTGGCTCCAAAAGAGATGTAATGCATGATGCATCATTTAATAATCTGTGTAACGTAAGTGCCTTCATGCTCCCTTACTCGTTTCCATCTGAGTCACTAACGCGTACGCACCAACCTGCTCAAGAGACAAGAATTGTTGGCTGATAAGTTATGAAGCGACCAGATCCATACAGCCGTGCCCCCGCCGCCACTCCTATCCATCTACTTTTTTTCCTCCAAGTTCCTTCCAGCCGCTGCCATCACCTAACCCAGGAAGCCACCTGTCACGATGTTCTAAGAGCGGATTCATTATGCAGTCTTGTTCACCGACGACGAACAACAGCTGAGTTGTCGCAGTCTGGGCGGCTGCCATGGCATTCGCATGGCGACGTCGCAGCGTGTTATCGCTTATCGCCGTGACGTTCTCGCTCCTGCTGCTCCTGTCGCACGTCGCCCCCGCTGCGCGCCTTTCAACGGGCAATGACGCTAAACGCGAGGGTCTTTCGCGCAATATAGCGTCAGCTTATACTGGAATTGTAGCAACTGCGGCTGACTTTGATCCACTACAGGAGTCTGAGATTGCTGGCCGCGTCGTTGCTAGGATTTTGAAAGTGAAGAAGAAAAAGAAGAAGTCGACGACGACCGCGAAAGCAGCGGCGATTGCGGAGGAAGAAGAAGGAATTGCGGACAACGCGGAGAGAGGAGCGGCGGACGATGCGGCCGACGCGGAAGTCGCGCGAGATGAGGGGGACGAGGAGGAGTCTCGAGTGGTTAAGGCGAAGAAAGCGAAGAAAGCTAAGAAGACGGGAAGCAAGAAGGCGGTCAATTCTGTGAGAGAAGCGGAGGGGGGAGAAGTTGCGGAAACGGGGAGGAGAGCGGGTAGGACGAGCGGAGAAGGGGAAAGCGGAAATGGCGAGGACGGGGAAGGTTTTTCCGCTGTGGATAAGGCGGAGGCGGAAGCGGTGATTGCGGGGAAGGGGGAAGATGCGGAGGAGGGGGACGGAGCGGGGGAGGGGAAGCGAACGAAGAGAATCAAGGGGAAGAAAAGTGAGGTGAGGGAGGGGGACGGAGGGGAGGAGGGGAGTGATGAGGAGGAAGGTGGAGAGGATGCGGTAACGACAAAGTCAAGCAAGTCAAGACAGTCGAGCAAATCAAGCAAGTCAACAAGGGCAGCAAGAGGGAGTGAAGTTGAAGGGGAGCAGCAGGAGGCGGAAGGCGAGGAGGGTGATGAGGTTGAGGGAGATGAGGAGGGAGCAGCGGGTGCACTGGGCACCAGGAAGAAAAAGAAGGCAAAGAAGCAAAAGGGGGAGGAGGAGGATGGGGAGGGGGAGGGAGAGGGGCAGGGGAAGGGGGAGGCAGGAGCAGCGCGGGCTGCTGGGGACGAGGAGGAAGCGCGGCCGGGTGGGGAGGGCGAGACCACGACAGAGAGCACGACGAAACGCGACAGCGAGGACAGGGATGAGGGCGGGAGTGGCGGAGGGAGCGCGGAGAGAGAGACAGCGGGAACGGGAGAAAGCGGGGGAAAGGGGGTAGTCGGGGGGGAAGGCGGAGGCGGGGCAGGGTCGGAGATACAGGTGGCGTTCACGGGTCCACAGGACGTGATGGACGTGCCGGTGGACGAGGAGATGGTCTCCGTTGACCTTGAAGACATCCCCCCTGACCCTGAACCCCCCCACCCCACCCCCGCTGCTGATTCACATGCTGCTGCTGATGCTGCCGATGCTGCCGATGCTACCAACGCGGCAGGGAATGAGCTGCAGGGAGGCGCTGAAGGCGCGACTACCGGTGGTGACAGCGGCGGTGGTGGCGGTGCCGATGGTGGTGCCGCCTCTGCTGGGGAAGGTTATGGGAAAGCTGCGGTGGCGGCGGGTGGGGATGCAGAGCAGGAAGCAGGGTTCCTCTCCCGCTGGGTCGTCGCGCCCCTGGCTGCAACCCTGGAACCCATTCTCGCCCCTCTCTACCCCCTCACATCCCTCTTCCTCTCGCCCGGGCAAACTGTGCTCCTTGCTGCTTCTCTCGCCCTGCTTGCCTGCTTCTGATGCTGCCTCTGCTGCTGCCGCTCGCTCTCCCGCCTTGTGAGTGGCGGCCGGGGAGCAGGGCCGGGGGCAGCAGCGGGCGGCAGCGGCAGCTGGTTCGGCGGGAGGCACGGGCCAGGTGCAGCGTACTCTGAGGTGGCTCGGCAGGAGGTGGATTTGTCTGTGGCGTTCGGGCAGCAGATTCCGGGGGGAGGGAAGCAGGGAGGGGGAGGGCAGGGAGGGGTGGGGGGAGGAGCAGGAAGGAGCAGGGCGGATGGTGGGTCGGAGTGGGATGAGTGGGACGAGGAATGGGGGGGTGCGAGAGGGGAGGGGGGAGGAGGGAGGGAGAAGGGGGTGGGGAGTGTGGGAAGTGGAGGGAGGGGTGTGGGTGGTGGGGATGGGTAAAGTTCAGGGGAGGGAGGAGGTAGAGGTGGGGCGAGAAAAGGGGGGAAGCTGGTAGTGAGCAAGGGGGCAGGGGCAGCTGGCAAGGAAGGCTGGAAGTCATGAGATGAATGTCGTAGCAGGATTATAGGTTGCGTTGTATGGTACAAGCTTGTTGAGTATCATAGCTTCAGCAATTTAGCCGTAGGAGGAATTTCATGATTCGTCGTATAGTGCACAAAGGCACGACCCAGCCATTCTCTGCAATGCAATGGAACGGACCCTCCCAGAGCCCAGTTCACTTTCCTCATTCTGTGCACGGCACCTCTACCGTAAGTCCTTCGGGTTCAGGGTCTCGCTGTGAGAGTATGCAAGGGCTACTGCAACAGAGCTCTCGCTTTTGATACTGAGCTGCAAGACGGTGTAAAACGGTGTCCGATTCGAGGTAATTCTTCCCCAGTTGATCTCTGTACGGTGCGGTAATATCATCCACGTCCTGTGGTTAATCGTTGCATCCCACAGCTACGGTACAGGAATAATTTCTCAGGAACTAATGCTACAGGTATCAAAGAGCTGATTCGTTTAAAGGCAACAGAAAGGAGACATGTGGCGTGCAGAGCAACTACGGTATCAGGAAAGGGCGAACTTCATGAGTAAAAAGCTGCAGTGCTGCCCAAGAACTACCTGGAGTGTAAAATTCACTTAGTTTGACTTAAAGCTCGCGTCTCAGATTTCCAACCTTTTAACACTTGGTTGGGTTTTCCCGTCTGTGATTGGGTAACGAATGACGAATTATTTGACGAGTGGGTGAAAAAAACACAGCGAACTCCCAAACAGTCGAGGCCAAAACAAACCAGGGTGGGTTGGTTTGGGTGGAAAACGAGCCAAGGGGGACAGGTTTGGTCCCGGGTTTCGTCAACGTTGAGTTCAGAGTCTCATTTTCGAGAGTTGTTAACACTTGGTGTGCACGGGGAAGTGTGCGACAGCCAACTTTCCCAAACCACCCCTTGCTTTGGTGTGCTTTGCGACAAACTCTGCTGTTACCGGATTCCAACCGTTTAACACTTGGTTGGATGGCAGAAATATGAGACGCGAGCTTTAAGTAGCTTAGTATGCCCCTGGTGCTTTCTAAGCAGGATGTGTGTAAACCTCCTCCCGCTGCTCCTCCTCGTTCGGCCTCCCTGCGCACCTGCCGACTCGCCCCCACTGCCCACTCTGCCCCACTGCTTCCACTCCCGCTCCCCGCCCCTTCCCCACTGCCACGCCCCCACCACCCGCCCCCTGCCCCTCTGTCAGATTACAATTGTATCTCTAGGTTACAGTAGGGTCACTCCTTAGTGAGTACAACACTTTAGGGTTAGGTTTCCCCTACTTGTACTCACCTCTTGCCTAGTCCAATCCATCATTCCTAGTTGTATTCTTGACATGGTATCAGAGCAGGAACCGTTCCTACATGGGCCCACCGTTCCGCCTAGTGGTAACGCCACGCCCTACACAGTAGCCAGCGCGCTGGCGCCCCTAGCTCTCACTGTCGCGACCCTTGCAGCCCGTGCGCTGCCCCTGCGACCGCGCTGCCCCTGCAGCCGTGCTCGCCCCTGCTACCGTGCTGCCCCTGCAGCCGCGCCTGCCCCTGTGGCCCGCGCGCTGCTCCTCCAGCCCGTACGCTGCCCCTGCAGCCCGTTCACGCTGCCCCTGCAGCCGCGCGTCGCCTCTGCAGCCAGCCCGCGCGTCGCCCCTGGAGCCCGCGCGCCGCCTGTGCAGCCCGTCCTCGCGGACCCTGCAGCCCGCGCGTCGCCCCTGGAGCCCGCGCGCCGCCTCTGCAGCCCGTCCTCGCGGACCCTGCAGCCCGCGCGTCGCCCCTGGAGCCCGCGCGCCGCCTCTGCAGCCCGTCCTCGCGGACCCTGCAGCCCGCGCGTCGCCCCTGGAGCCCGCGCGCCGCCTCTGCAGCCCGTCCTCGCGGACCCTGCAGCCCGCGCGTCGCCCCTGGAGCCCGCGCGCCGCCTCTGCAGCCCGTCCGCGCGGCCCCTGCAGCCCGTACGATCTGCCTTTGCAGCCAGCGCGGCGCCCCTGCAGCCCGCGCGTCCTGCCCCTGCAACCTGCGCCAGCGCCCTGCCCTGCACGCGCTGACGCCCTGCCCTGCGCCAGCGCCCTGCCCTGCGCCCGCGCCCTGCCCTGCGCCAGCGCCCTGCCCTGCGCCAGCGCCCTGCTATACCCTAAATATAATTAAATTGTTAAAAAAAAAAAAAAAAAAAAAAAAAAAAGGACCCTAGGTGCTTCTGCCCTAGGAGCTACTGCCTACTACTGCCCTGCTGTGGCCGCGCGCCGCCCTGCTCTGGCCGCGCGCCGCCCTGCTGCTGTTACTACTGCTGCTGCTCCTACTCGTGCTACTGGGAGTGGAGGAGGTGCTGCTGGGAGTGCAGGAGGTGCTGCTGGCGCTGTAGGAGCTGGAGGTGCTGGACCTACTCCTGACCGTCACTGTCTGTCATGGCCACTTCCGCGGCAGTTGCTGCGGCCAGGGGTGGACAGCAGCGGGCACTGCTTCTCCCAGACAACCCCACCCCTCAGCAGCTTCGTGAGTGGGTTATTCAGCGAGGTCGTCCTGGTGGTGGAGGTTATCGTTTTGTTAGGACTGCTGCTCTTGGTGTTAGTGAGTCTGCTGCCGCTCCAGGTGCTAGTGAGTCTGCTGCAGCTCTAGGTGCCCGTGAGTCTACCGACGCTCTAGGTGCTAGTGCGTCTACTACCACAGGTCCTGCCTCAGCTGAGGTCTTGCACACTTTCACGCTTGACTCAGGCGCGTCACGTTGCTTCTTCCGTGATTGCACCACAGTCACACCACTCACAGCACCTGTCCCAGTCTCACTGGCTGACCCCTCTGGGGGCCCAGTGGTTGCGAGAGCCTCCACGGTCCTCCCTTGTCCAGCAGTCCCCTCTGGTTCTTTGTCAGGTCTCCACCTCCCCACGTTCTCGACGAACTTGGTGAGCAACGCTGCCATTCAAGATGTCTGGGTTGATACCTTTATTCCTGGAGGGCAGCGTGTGGCGATCTGTACGTGCTCCCGGACTGGCCGTCACCTGGCTACGTTCACTCGTCAGCCTGGGTCTAGTCTGTACACACTGACCACTGCGTCTGCACAGGTGGCTGAGTCAGGTCAGGTAGCTGCGTCGAGTCGAGCGTCTGCGTCAGGGCAGTTAGCTGCGTCTTGCTCGTGCAGAGTACTCACGCACGAGACTCAGCGCTGGCACCACCGTCTTGGTCACCCCTCCCTGCAGCGTCTGCGCGGCATGCACTCCCGGCTCCTGGTCTCTGGCCTCCCTGAGACCCTGCCCCCCCTCCCGCGCTCACTTGCGCCGCCGTGTCTTCCTTGCGTCGAGGGGCGGCAGCGCGTCGCTCCTCACTCCTCCGAGTTTCCTCCGACCACTGCTCCTCTGCAGACTCTCCACCTGGACGTGTGGGGCCCGGCCCCCGTCGGTGGGACGGACCAGGAGCGCTACTTCCTGCTGTCGACTACACACGCTACACCACAGTCTTCCCCTTGCGTCGCAAGGCGGACGTCAGCGGTGTTTTGATCCCTTGGATCCGTGCTACTCGTCTCCAGCTACACGAGCGCTTTCATCAGGACTTCCCAGTCCTGCGTCTGCACTCTGACAGGGGTGGTGAGTTCTCTTCTGGCGTCCTTGAGACGTTCTGCCAGGATGAGGGCATCGCCCAGTCGTTCACGCTTCCGGCCTCTCCGCAGCAAAATGGGATCGCTGAGCGTCGCATTGGCCTGATCATGGAGGTTGCTCGTACCTCCATGATCCATGCGGCTGCTCCCCATTTCCTGTGGCCGTTTGCGGTCCGATACGCCGCGCATCAGCTCAACCTCTGGCCCCGTGTCTCTGCTCCAGAGACCTCGCCCACACTTCGTTGGACGGGACAGCCTGGTGATGTGTCGTCGTTTTGGGTCTGGGGCGCGCTCTCCCTTGTTCGCGATACCAAAGCGAGCAAGCTCTCTCCTCGCACTCTCCGCTGTGTCTTCCTGGGCTTCCCCACCGACGCTCCACCCTGGCAGTTCTACCACCCTGCCTCGCGTCGTGTTCTGTCCTCTCAGGACGTCACCTTCGACGAGTCGGTCTGTTACTACCAACTTCACCCGCATGCGTCCCACCCGGTCCCCCTTGCACCCCTCTTCCTGGTACCAGTCCCCCCCCCCCGGTAGACCCCCTCCCCCCACAGGGTCCTGCTCCCTCAGGTGTGTCCCAGGTAGACCCACCCCCCTTGGATGAGCCAGTTGAGATCTCTTCTGACTCCTCTGACTCACCTGAGGGGGGTGACGCCGTCGCCGACGACACGGCGACCACTCGCCACACTCCTCGCTTGGCGACCCCCCCGGGTTTCCCGCCACGGCCGTCTTCGCCGCCTCCGCAGCCTGCTGCTGTGGACTCTGGAGCTGAGACTACTGGAGCTGGGGCTGGGGGTGGTGAGTCTGGGGGTGCCCGCTCTCCTCGTCTGGCTACCCCCCCCGGGTTCCCACCTCTGCCGTCTTCGCCGCCTCTGCAGCCTACTGCTGTGGACACTGGAGCAGAGACTGAGGGTGCTGAGACTGAGGGTGCTGGGACTGAGGGTACTGAGCCTGAGGGTGCTGGGACTGAGGGTGCTGGGACTGAGGGTGCTGAGACTGAGGGTGCTGAGACTGAGGGTGCTGGGACTGAGGGTGCTGAGCCTGAGGGTGCTGGGACTGAGGGTACCGAGACTTTGGGTGCTGACTCTGGGGGTGCTGAGACTTCGGGTGCTGACTCTGGGGGTGCTGCGAGTCCTTCTGGAGGTCCTGGTGCTGGAGGTACTGGAGCTGCTGCTGGTGCTGGAGGTGCTGGAGCTGGAGGTACTAGAGGTGCTTCTGGTGCTGGAGGTGCTAGAGCTACCACTACTAGAGGTACTGGAGCTGGACAGCCACCGCAGCCTGCTCTACTTGAGACGCTCTCGCCGCAGGCGATTCGTGCGTGGGTCGTTCTGCGAGGCAGTCCTGGTGGTGGAGGGTACGGTC